GTAAAGGCCTCTTCGGGCGAGATCAACAAGACGTAGGAAAGAGAGTTCGCAGCTTTCGATTTGTATCATCGTCGAGGTACCAAGTCTCGAGCTTTTGCTACATCAAAGTGGATTTAGACTAAGTCAGATTGATAATCTGAGGGAATTCTGTCCTTAGTCAACATGGATTCAATCATCAACTCGGGTTCTTTCTATCATTGAGAAGATCGCGAGTAAGCGTAGTTGTCAACGAGACAGTGAAAGGAGTTCTTCCATATTGATAGTTAGGAAGGTTGCTTGGCTTTTCAGTGACCTTCTAACCAGAAATATCATAAGAGAAGTGCAATTGGGGTAGGACTAAGAAGTAGAGAGTCCCGTAAATAGCCATACTTCAAATCCCCGAGGGGAATCTACCTAAGACGGTAAGGGGCCTAGCAGAAAGAGTAGTTTCAGAAGCCGAGAATGAAGGAGAGATTCTGATTCAAGTTCTACTCTTATTCATCTCTTGGAGTCAAATCAGTAAGGGAGTTCACATCTGGAAATCAATCATCTCTTTCTTATTACGGCGGTAAAGCTGCCACTTTTTCACTACTTTCTTGATCGAACAAGCAGGAAGACACATGGCCTAACTCTGTTCTGGAAGCTGCTAACACATTTAGGGGTGAAAAGCACTCAGACGATTGAAATATCTTATAGTAAGCCCTTACTCTACTCTGGCTATAGAGCAGAGCCATCTAAATGCCATCATGAAGCGTAAGACTGAGGATAGTCCTCGACTACCTTCTTATTTACTTGTTGAGCACTACTGGGCAAAGACTTTTTTATATGATTAGACCTATGGTATGGGACTGACTAGCTTCCCTGGCTTATTGGGGTTAGGCATTCTTAGGCAATAGACCAGGAGTAGGCTGAGGTAAGACCTTTCTATATTCAATTTATCTTACAGACTGAATCCATAGTTGGCTTGGTCATAACTAGTAGTAGCTCCGGTTACTGTTGGAGTCGGTGGAATCATCTCACTGGGACTAGGCAGCTTCGGCTCCTCTCCTTTCCCTGGTCCAACACTACTCGAGTTCTTTCGCTCTAGCTGCATGAATCCTAAGCTTTGTCTCATCGAGATTGGCTTGGTCTCATAGCAAACCCTGTGTAGAAAGCCAAAAGCTACAGT